GCAATATATGTATATGATCTACAGTGAATTTGCATGTGGTTTTCACGAGTACCTCGGATGACGTCACAAAATTCACTCGTTTCAGACTCCTTGTGGCCACGGAAGTGGTCCACAAAAAGTGCCTTTTTACCAACTTTAAACTGCCATAAAAATTGGAGGATTTGACGAAATTCATTTTTGTTTTCGGCAAAATACTAGAAATCATGCCAAGATTTGATATCGCGAAAAAACGTTTGAAGCATTAGGGGCACTTTAAATGACGACACTACAATTCTGAAGTAAAATAAATGTATCAAATTATCTATTAGCATTCTAAGTATTTTCACAAACATTACAACAAATCAATATACTCGCGCTAAAAGTTGGAAAGTAAGTCTGAATATTTGTGAGGCAAGTCATGTGGAGGAGGTGGTTAAAAGTCTAGTTTGTGGTTAATTAAATTGATTGAGGGAAATTTTCGGGTGGGGGCTTCTGAGCAGGCTAAGGGAAATTTTTTTAAGGGAAAACCTGAAGCGTAGCTATTTTTGAGATGGTGTTATAGAAAGACGGTGCTGTCGGAGACTTTCAATTATCATATATAGTATATAGACCAAAGTACATTTAATCTTAGAATATAGATAATTCATATAGTTATTAGTTTAGAAGTTTCGTATCCAACGCAAGAGATAAACAGACGTGACTATGCAACCGCATTGTCAGGGCGCAGTCGAAACTATAGGATCAAATCGCGATGAATTTGCATATTTTCCGCAAGGAAACTTCGTCACATAACCGCATAGACTTCGTCATATAACCACAATAAGTTCCTATTATTTTACTATAAATATAGCCTCTGTATGTTAGTTAGACAAATTAGAACTTCAGTCTACTGGAGAGTTAACATCGATTGTGATACAGTGAAGTGTAACGTATCTAATGTCATTGTGACCTGTGACCTTTATTAAAGTTTAAAAAAATTTAAACGTGATTTGTGAATTTGTGAGTTGTTGGGCGAAACAAGGGAGGCAATCCCCAACAGTGTGCACTTTTTTGTGCTTTATTAATCACATTTTGCCTATATATTGAATAAAAACGCACTGTGACCCATGCGTGCAGTTAGATTACCCAAAATTTACAAGTTATTACGTCATGACCCTTTAGACAGCTGAATGAAAGCAGACCATGGTGCCACTCGTGAACCATATGTTTGCAGTACACATCTGTGTAACCATAGAATAGAAGGCCGCACATGTCAGTTTTGCTTATAATTATATCACCAGCAATTGGAGAAGTATAAACCAAAGTACGTAAGTTGATGTCAATTATCGTTTAGTATAAGTATGTTTTGTTAATGACATGCATTAACATTATTAGTTGTTGCATGCCTTTAAGTAATTTAGTTATTTAGTTAAGTAGGTTATTTCATTGTCGCGTTTCAGTTCGAACCTACTACAATCTACTACAATTCTACAACAATTCTACAACACTACAAGTCTACGATTTGTCTACCAACTGATCTACGCCTAACATACGAGTCCCGCGTTGTGCTATACCTGTTCATCTATCTCACTACCACAATACGTTGCGTGACTTGTATGAAGGCCCTTTGTTCTTATTATTTCGTTGGCTTAAAATTTATTTGTTGTATACTGTACATTGAGTGTTAAGTTCGAATATTCACTTGTATTTATATCAACCCCTTTGACTCTTTTATTGGCAACAGAGAGCTTACAGGTATATCTGGTATTACCAGATGAAAATCTCAAAGGTACTAGCTCACTGTAGTTATAAAAAAGTGCGTAATACTCTGTGACAGGCACGAATACTGGAACCAATTAAGTATCTAATTATATAAAAGGTCATAAAAATATTACAAAATACAATAATATAAAAAACGAAATATAAAATACACTCTTGCTTTTCGAGCTTAAATAACGTAGTACTTAAATAACCTAGCACAGAAATTATACTATAACCATTTACTAGTCGCGTCAGGCTCGCCTGGCTCGGTGATTTCATACAATTATCTAGTTTTCCTAATTCCCACTCGTATTGATATAACTGTATATCAACACGGAAAATGTTTTATATTTGTTAAATATAACGCTAATCTGACTAGGTTAACTCATTGTTTAGTCGAATCACTTCTGAAACTCGTTTATATCTGGTATTACCCAGGGCCTTTTTTAAGAAATTGCTCGTGGGGGGGCGTTTGTACAGAAGGGACCTTTCGGTTACGACCGAAGGGACCAGTAATAGTGGGACAGTTTCTGTGTTTGTTATTGAATGAAAAATATTTTTAAAATGATACGATCAGTTATCATTAGTTAAATTTTTCCCTCATATCAACGCACTGTTTTTTGTGTAATATATTGTTAACAGCGAGGAGCTGACAATATTTAGCAAAACATGCTTAAATCTTAATCTTTACAAAATATGAACTCTTTCAACCTATACAATGATAGTAAATTAGGATTAAGCCTAAGGCTAAGAGATTGTATATGATCGATGTGTAACCTCATCAATTTAATAGTTCTTTACGTCTTAGAATGACAATATGAATGGATTGAACATTTTATCTTATTTGGTTAAAATTAAACTTCATAGGCTATTCAAAAAACTTCTTAATAAAGTCTCTTTCAGTATATGTGCTGGTAACTGGCAATTTCATTCTTTGGTCCTTCCTAAGCATGAAATTCTGAACAGCCGGCCGTGGATCGTAAAGTGCAGTGGCAACACCATTCCAGTGAATTAATAGTCGACCAATTAATGTTGTATCGGAGGTTGATGTTCTTAGATCAGAGAAGAGCATGTTATATGTCGACACAGACCTTTCTACGGTCATGCTGTGAGGCGAGACGACGCAGAACGTTGAAAGGAACTCAGTAGCAGGTGGCTTGCTACCTCTCAACATTGAATACAGCCGAACACCGGCTTTGGAGAAAAATGAAGTTATCCTTTTGCATGTATTTGCTTCCTTTTGCAGAATTTTTTCATTTTCTGCCTTTCGTTTTGTTGCATTAGACATTCTCAATCACATATTGACAATATTTTAATATGTTTTGTAGAAAATGAAATCCCAAAAAATGTTATGAAAACAATTTAAAAAAGCAAATTTCGAAAAACAACCAGGTCAATTACAATGCGCCTGCGTTATGAACTGATTCATGTACATGTACTTCGTTTTACACAAATATAAGGAATAGACCACTGATCTGAATAAAACTGTATTATTCTGTTATTATTTAAATGGTAGGAAATTTAACTGTCCTTGCCCACTGCCCAGAGTAGTGCATGCATTTTTATTTTATGCTATGTGCTAAAGTAACAACATGACAATTTAGTGGGGGGGGGGCCAAAACCCATCAGTGGGGGGGGGGCCAAAGGAGGGGGTGGGGGTCCTTGGCCCCCCACGTATATAGTTAAAAAAGGCCC